TTTTCTCAATTTTAACAGACACCTAAGGGGGTTAGTGTTTGTTTAACACTTTCAGACTGTTTCATATCTGGCTTATTATGCCAATAACTCTATATTGTGTGGAAATGGATGGCAGCAAGGATTGGAAAAGGGATAGTTGCTCAGTGAGAAGACTAAAGAAGAGGCAGACGGGAGGTGGGGGGAAGCTGGAAAAGCTTGGCATGAAATAGGGGAGCCTGATTATGGGCCACTGAGGTTCAAAAGTAATTTAGCTAAGCAGATGACCGGGTGCCTAATTAGTTAATTATCCCACCATACCACTATCCCCCCCATTTGGAAGAAACCCTGTTACCATCCTCRTGACCTTTAGGAAATGCACAAGATGCAAAGGATCAGCTGTTCCTTCATGACAGTCCTTTTAGCAAATTAGTGGGGAAAATTGTGCTTAGCAAATATTCATTAGGGCTTCATTTTCCATTAATCCAAAAGGAAATGTGGAGAGCCTGTGACTTCAATCATGCTGAGGCCCAGGAATTTTAATGAGCTTTAAATGGGCATCTGCCAGAATCCTGACTTCGCCGTACTTCTCTTGCCAGCCGGGGGGATGAGTAATGGGTAATAAAAGGTGGGAGCATCTAGGCGAGCTCCTCTCCCTAACAGGAAAGGCAAAGTTGTAATTTGCTGTGTTATGACACTGTAATTATGCCCTGATGAAGAAAACGAGAGTATTAAAAAAMCCTTTCCTTCCCCACTGTGCCCCAGACGTAAAAAGGGGAAAGTTGACTGAGGCAGGTCACAGGGTTGTAGGCACATGGGCTAGGGGGAAGGAGGAAACCCTCCTTCTCTCTGACCTCTAGCCCTTTTGGCAAAGGGCACACAATGTATTCCCTTCAACTCGACCCCTCAGAGTAAAACAGAGCTGGAGTTACCTGTCGAGGTCAGTGCAGAGCTGGGCAGCAGCTGGAAGTACTTTTAGAAATAAGAGGATGAAAGAAACAATCCCTGTCTCCTCAAACTATACAGTTTTCTGCCACTGAACACTGCAAAGTATAATTTTTTCAGCAAAACCATTCGGACACACCTGCCCCCTTTTGACTGTTGCTCAAGGACAGCATGCATAAAAATAAAAGTCAGGTTGAAAAGTTTCATTCTAGRCTATTTGACTAGAGGCAGGTTTGCCCTCTTCTGCCCCAAAAATTTCAACAGAATATTTTTGAGGGTCTCTAACTTCATATTCCAGCTAACGACTTCTCTCTGAATGTTTTCCGAAACACTCTCTGAAATTGGTATGAGTCACAGGATTGAGGCAAAAAAAAGCCAATCCCTCTTGTCTAGTAACTTGGATTTAAATCCACTAAAAATCTGTCCTGCAGAGCCCTCTAGAATGGAGGACATGGCCTAACTGTCCAGATCTGGGGGAATCTTCAGGCTGAGTCAAGATGGGGGGATGAATGCAAAATTCCACAAACCAAATGAGACTCTGAGTCTGTGCATATCTTTTTGCTTATTGTCATCATCTGTGTGATGTTATTGTCATCACACAGATTCAAGGATAATGAAACATCTGCATGCAGASACTGGGAAGAGGCAAAGAATTGTGTGGGTCACCCAAAACTCTACAGATTAAATGAGATTATGAGGAGCAAAGAAAATCTGTGAACCATATTCTTTTGGTCGTTGCGTTCTTATTCCTCCATTCTGTTCTTTCCATGGCCACATGTGCTGGTGCATCCCTCTCTCTCTAGATTTTGTCCTGGTGTACTGGGAAGGCTATTGAAGTTGCCATAKCCTCTAGGTGACTTTCTGAGTTCCTGGTCTTCTACTTTGTCCGTTCCTCCAAGAGTCTACAGGCTGCTTCCTAACGTGACYGCTCACCAGGCAGAGAGAAGATGCCAAAGTAAATCTCCACCGTGTGATTTCTCGTATCCTATTTCTCTTCATTCATGGGTCTTCTTTTTCTCTTGATAGGACCAGAGGGCTGTAACCTGTTTATCTACCATCTGCCCCAGGAGTTTGGGGATGCTGAGCTGATGCAGATGTTCCTGCCTTTCGGTAATGTCATCTCCTCGAAAGTGTTTGTGGATCGGGCGACAAACCAAAGTAAATGCTTTGGTGGGTAAAGATAACAAAACAATTAGATTCATCCAGGAAAGGGCTTTCTCTGAATACTTTACCTTTCAAACTGCTTTCTTTCTGCTTAAGCTTTATGATTTCTCTCAATTTACTCCTGTCAATACTTTCCCCCTTCCCTCTTTCTCACCTGATTGTCTCATGCTCASAGTTGTGTGCGCTGCCTAGAGGTGAAGGTTTGGCATCTCACCGGCAGCAAAATGCTGCAGACATTGGTGGGGTTGGAAAACATCCCCTCCTTGTAATGGGATATGGGGAGGGTACAGAAAAGGCTAAAGTACCTGGAGCAAAATTCAGGGGGCTGGGCATAGGTGAAATGTTGATGAGATCAGCAGAGGGAGCATGTTGCAGAAGGGGAATTTCTGTACCTAAGGAAAAGGAGAAACAGGTCCTGGGGTAGAAGGGAAGACAGAGCTGTGGGGGGCACCTTCCTGCTGCTGTGATGCATTAGACTGCAAGGGGATTAAGGCCGAGCATCAGCTGGGAGCCTGGTCTTCTTGGGGATGATGGCTGCTTGTTGGATCTCATTCAGACCCACTCTGACCCACTGGAGCCRAGGCAGCTCCCAGCAGACACAGAGGGATCCTGTGCCTCTGCTGACAGGCTGTGCTAAGGGGCTGGGTTTGAGAGCTGTYCCCGGCTCATTCAGCTCTGGCCCCACTGCTGGAGCAGAGAAAGAGCAGATCCTGAGCTGCCTTTGAGCACCAGGCAGGGCCAGCCCGGGCTGCACCCACAGMGGGAGGGCTCAGCCAGCCAGCAGCCGTGGGGTGGTGTACGATGGGCTCTCATTGGGATATCAACATGGTCAAAGCTGTGGTGTTAAGGGCCCCTGCTGGCAGTGTGACAGTGTGGGGACCCAGCCACACCTGATCCCATCACACCTGGTGGACAGGGATGTCCCCCAGCCAGGTGCCCACCACCGGGATCTGTAATTACTGATTCTCTGCCRTCCTGCACCCCTTGCAGACCCACCCTGGGAAGTGCAACAGAACAAACTATTGCTTTTCTTTTCCTGTTACTTGCAGCTAATCTGGACTCTGTCTCTCAGGCAAACTTCCAGAGTTAAGACTCATTGGAGTTTTCATTTGATTTTAAAACCACTCTCAATCTCCACACTATGCTTTCTTTCCATGCTGCCTTCCCCTTCTCCCTCCTCAACAGCCCACCTCGCAAATCTCTTACCTCATCCCTTGCTACCCATGGTGCATGTCAGAGAATACTTCAAGAGTTTTGTGCACAGCTGCTCCTCCCCATTCACAGMGGGTCTGAACAGGCTATTTTCCCTTTGGTTTGAAGGAGCCCTGACCCCTGATGAGAGGGACACTGCCCTCCCAATCACCACGAGTCACTGGTCTACAGCACTAGAGGAATGAAGGACAAAGAGTCTGGTGTGCAGAGGCAGCTGGGAAATCCAAATTAGGATTCAAAACTGTGAATTAGCCCCTATGAATCCAGAACTGCTTATTATATATAAATTATWTATATGTAAATATGYACAAAATTTCMTAWCAAGTTGAGCAGAYCAGCACAGCTCTAGGTGACACTGACACTAACTCTCCAAGGAGTTCCTGGATTAGGAACTGATCTTTGGCAGTGGAATTGTCATGTTTAGAGGAATTATGGGCCTGATTTTCCTGATATTGACAGGTGAATGGAGGAATGACGTGAGAACCAAGCCCAGCAAGAGAGAATTCCTYTGGACAGCTAATGAGCCTTATCCCAGCTTAGTTCAAAGGTTCATGGCTACRACGCCTCATGAGGACATGAAATGAACACAATTTTTGGGAAAGGTTTTGGGGCTGCTTCTGAGGTGCTGTTAGATCAAGGTTGAGAGTTAAGCAGGAATYGAGGCACCTTACCAGAAATTTTTCTTGAGTCTTCCTAGGAGAAGCTAGACATCAGCTTGTTGGATGAAGTGAACTGCAGAACTAATTGTGGGAAATTAAAGGCTGAAATAGGAAGGTGCCCTTTGGAAGTATCGGCTGAAGCAAACAGAGAAGCAAAAGAAGGAATTAGAGATTGCTGGTGGATCTTAGTCACCTTATATTAGCCCTGAGGCACAAATACCCAAGTCCAGTCAGTCTGGGGCCCCAGGTGTCAAGTCCCAGTTTTCCCTAGATTTCACCTTCTTTTCCATAGAGCTGAGTGCCGGCCGTGGGTGCTGGTCTCAGACAAATATGGTAACTCTGCTTCCCTGCCCACCACCTCCACAAGGATAGAAACAGCAGAAGCACASGTAGCCAACTACCACAGGTAGGTTACGCTGCTTTTCAAAACCTCCCACTCTCCTGACCTTCAGCTTTAAAGCAAGGTAAAAATGTAAAAGGTATTAGAGGAAATCAGGCCTTTCATTTGTTTTGCTAAGTCTACTGAAACTGGCATTTTTGTTCAGGAAATAAATTTAAATAAAAAAAAATAATTACTTTTTCCTAAAGGAAAAGAAGCTATTTTATTAACTTTGAAAGTAAGAAAACTCCTTCTTTTCTGCTTAAACATTTCCCAAAACTCAACATGTAAGAACATAGCATTTGCATTCTATTTCACTTTTATTTTAGTGCAGCTMGAGCTCTCCAACTGCTAGCCTGGGGGGACAATTCTGTCTGGCCCCAGAAAGATATTCCACTATTATATGACCTTTTAAAATATATCTGCTATGCAGATCCCAAATAAATTGCTGCAACAGAGTTTAGCCCCAGGTTGTCGAGAAATTGTCAAGAAGTCCTGCTTTAGACAAACTTTAAAAATTCTATGGAGAAAAATGTCACCATGTTTTCTTCCATGGGAACAGAAAAAAASTTTATTTGTTGCTTTTGTCTCACTGTTGAATAACCTGTGAGCAGCTGGCACGAACAGAACAGGTCAGTAGAAAAGCATGCCAAAATAGAAATTTGGAGGGCCACAAAGGTCATTGGGGGGCTGGGTCACAATTCCTGTGAGGACAGGCTGAGAGAATTGTGGTCGCTTAKCCTGGAGAAGAGAAATCTCCAGGGAACCTTATAGCACCAGTATTTGAAGTGGCTGCAAGAGAACTGAGATGGACTTTTTACAAAGCCATGGACAGACAGGACAAAGGGGGGATGGTTTTAAAGTGAAAGAGGGGAGATACAGCTTAGCTGTTAAGGAYTTCTTGACYATGAGGGCGGTGAGGTGGTGAGTCTGGCCAGAGAAGCTCTGGATGTCCCATCCCTGGAAGTGTTCAAGGACAAGGTGGATGAGATTGGGAGCAACCTGTCCTGGTGGATGGTGTCTCTGGACAGGGTAAGGGTGGTTGGAACTTGATGAACTTYAAGGTCCCTTCCAACCCAAACCCAAAAAGTTTTATTCCTTTCTATTTGGCTCTGAATTCTTGTCTGAGTTCTGAACACAAGTTTATCACTTTTGGCCACTACTGGCAGCAGCATGATGGGGTAGCTACAGGAGTGTTTGGAAGGAAATGAGATCAGAAACAAGCCTTTCTCCTGGTTTGTGGGGACCACGAGCCTGCAGAACCATAACACCTGCACAGGCTAAAGAAATCGTGCTGTGGTCATGAAGCCTTTGGTGCTCCCAATTCAGAGGCCACTGTCTCCTGGCTGACAAGGAGCAGCAAGGAATTCCATCTACAGCAAGCACCAATATCAGATATAAAATGTGAATGTGCTCAGAGCRTGTCTGTTGTTTTCCCTATCAGGACTGCCTGAGAAGCAACCTGACTTCTCACTGAGAAAAATGTAATTTAGACTGGGAGGCTCCTTTGCCTAAGACTTTTCCTCTGCTGCACACATACAGGCTAAACCCAAATCCTTCATTTTCTCTTACAGTTTTTCAAACCTCTGGCTTTTATTTCCTCCCTTTCCCTGTCCTGRTGCAGCTGTAACATGGCCAACTGCAGACCATCCTTCTCCTTCCCATTCACCAACACCCTGTCTATCCCCATGGCCTGGGCCTCCATCACTGACCATATCTGCATCCCCTTGGGTTTCTCCTCAGGCACTGCCCTGTCCGCATCCTTGTATTCAGATTTAGTGATTTCACCTTCACAGCTCTTCCCCGCTCWGCCCTCCTCTCTCCTCTCTCACTGRTTGTTCCCTCAATGCCYAGCTGACACCTGTAGCCTCTGCCCACACACCTCTTTTGCAGGCAGCATGTTTCTCCAACTGGGCCATGCTGTCCATTCCCAGTGAAATGGCAGGGCCACTGCGGGAATCATTGTCTCACTCAGGAAAAAATTAAACTTAGTCGGACACTCCTTGAAGACAGTGACTCCCATTCTCACAGAGGGCTGGTCTAGGAAGACTTGCATGGAGGTAAAGTGTGCCACAGCCTGAATGTCAACATCTGCAGGATCCCAGAGCTGGTCTCTGCTCGAGGCAGGGCTTGCAATGGGTCTCTCACCTTCCCACTACATGTGTGCGAGTTATTCTGTGTGTAGGCGTGCTAAATGTCAGAGGACATGGATTGCATCTTTGTGCTGGTCTCAATGGCTCTGGTGATCGTTCTCCTCTCAGTTGTGTAGATTGTTTAAATGTGAGCAGTTTGTGTACAAGGCTAAAAGAGAACTTCAATAAAACAACACCATCAAGGCTGCTAAGGCAAGTGGGCAAAGTGAGAAGAGCAGCTCCTCACCCTGCCCACACCCAGGATAACTCTGCCTCCRTCGTGGGGTGACGCTACAGCACAGCCCAGGAACGCTCACCCTGTTCTCATAAGGCACATTTAAAGAAATCATTTGAAGGCATGAAGTTAGGGAAATACCGAGACAGACATCTTCCAGAAAAAAAATGCTTTAACAGAGAAGAGAGAGAAAGAAAGGTTTGGGCAGTATTAATTAGGAAGACACATCAGAAATTAGAAGAGCGAGAACATGGATAGAGAAGCAGAGGTCAAATGGTTATCCCACGGTGTCAAATAAGATGTAGATAAATTAAAGCTGGAGGAATTGCTTTACTGGAACACTTGGTTTGCTCCAGTCACCTCTTCCTGAGAGAAATAAGCACCTGGAT